GAGGCATACAGAGGCAGAAACCTACACATACAAAGGAGTACCAACTTAAGCTAAGGCTAAGAAAGGGAAGTTGGAGAAGGACTTTTAGAAGCTCTTTCTTGATTTTCTTTCTCTAAAGTCTTAGAAGGATTCTTTTTAATACTATATGGTTGTTTTGTTTTTTTTTTGTAGGATACAATAAAGCTAGGAACCATGGACCAGCCAACCAAAATTTTGGAAGCTTTTGAAGTTGGTAGCACTGGTAGCGCTCAACGTTAGTCATGTGCTGCTCAGCGCTAGCGGAGCTGCATACTACATGTTTTTGATGCATTTTCCATGTGACCCAGTATGCCTTCTGTGGTCCAGCTAGCTTGGCCTCCAAGCTCGTTTTTTACTTTGAATTTTGGAGGGATTGTAACTCAGATTAGAGGCTCTTCCTCCCTTATAAGTAGGAGAGCCCAACCATTGTAATTACTCACTTTTGAGCTTTAGTGAAATGCTGCAGAATTTAGTTCCAACCCTAAATTCTCTTGAGTCACTTTTTCTCTACCCTTTCCTCTAGCTTCCTTCCATAGTAGGAAGGCCTTCTGAGCTGAGAGGTCTCTACACACACTCCTTCCATTAAAAACACACCAAAACACCACTCATCTTCATTCATTTCGCTGCACCATCATTGCTTGTTGTTTGGAGTTGCTACCTATGAGTTCCAACCCTGGGCATGCTTCCATCAATAAAAAAATAGAAAACATTTATATTCAAACTTTGGTATAGAATTTCTTCTATATAATTTTTTCATTATTTATAATTTGACTCTAATTGTTAATCTTTTTAATAAAAAATTGTGATTCTCTCGACCAATTCTATATTGTGTCTTGGTTGCCTTTAGTAATAGACTAGTAGGTGACTACAATTTTGGATTTTAGCTAATTCTAGATTTTTTTTCTTGGACTCAAAGTAAAATCCAAAGAGTTATCTTAAATGGTTGGTTAAAGTAGTTGAACTTTTTGTAATTATGAAATGATGTTAGGATAATTTGTTATGTGAAATGAATATTAGATTGAAAATTAAAATGTCAACTTGTTTATTAGGCGAAGCATAATCCAAAATTGGGTCCATGTTTGATATATGCATTATGTTTGGGACCAAATTTGAAAATAGTTTGGAGATTTAATGAGGATTTGAAATTAGTTAGCATTGAGATATTTTGAAATAAAAATGTGCACTAATCAATTAACTATAAAATATGCATTTTTTTTATAAATATTGATTATTATGTATAATTTGGACTTTATATGAGTTAATAATTACAATTTAGGCTTGTTGGAATGAAAATTCGATTTCTTTAGTATTGTAACTCGATTGAGATAATTATGCAAAATTCTAAATTTTATATAATTCTTTAGTGAATTTTATTCTAAGATCTAATATTACAATTGAAAATTTCTTGGATATATTAGATTATGTTCAATAAGAACATCGTGTTTAGTTTATTTACATGATTCCATGTTTATTATAAATAATGTGTCTTTGTTAAATATGAGTAATGATGGTTCATATAATAACTATAAATGATTATGCTAGTTTGAAATCAATAAATTGAATATATGATTATAGAATCCTAATTTGATATATTAAATACTGTAACATCCTAAAAATACAGCAATATACTATATGATAGAATAATTACAATTAATAATACTCCATTTCAGTCTTATACTAAGAGAACGTACGCGCATGGCCGAACGACCTTACAGAAAGAGTTGCTATATTTAAATAATACGTAAGTACGAGTTTGACCGAACGGTTTACAAAAAACCAAGTACCGTACGATCATACATGCAAAGATGAGAAAGTGGCAAAAGACCGTCTCATTACAAAAACTACTCTACGGACCGAACGTCCTAAGGTTCGGTCTTAACTTCAACTTCGACCAAATTTTCTTCTTCCAGCGTATCTTCCAACAACGCGTCTCCTTCTGCTCACATCCACACGGATGATCATTGCAACGACAAGACGGACGTACAAGACGAGACAACACAAGAAAACACAGGGTAAGCTTATGTAATTTAATTCATACGTACACATACATTTCAAACAATCCAACACACAAGATAAATTTCATCATACGAATCATACAAAGCCTATCACTAGACTGACTGTCCGGACTGTATGAAATATGTGTAGCTACAGGCGTTCGTGCACCCGGGTGATGTAGTAACTGGGATGCTCTCAACAGTTGCCACCCGAGGTTAGCCCTATCTGCCCAAAGTGCCCCTAAGAACTAGGACCTCCTACCGTTCCCACACATGACCTATCCTCCTCAACGTGAAGACGAGTACTCACAGAACATCATGATGAACAGCCAGCTTAGCATACCCACAGTCATACTTACAAATTCCAATGTTCATACATGAGTCGTTCCCCCCCGGAACGCTCGTCCATAATTCACAACATTTCCATATCACGTTTTCTTCATCTTTTATTAATAACCATCTCATTCAATCACTCGTACAAAGATTCATGAGGATTCCAAATAACGAACGTTTAATCCGAATTTAGAACTAGACCGAACACATAGAGCGAGACCAAGAGATCTCAAATTTGAGAGTAGATTAAGACCAAGGGTTGATATCGGGTTTAAGAAAAATAACGAGTGAAATCTTCTAACACCAGAAACAAATGGGACGAACGTCAGTTACAATATTGAGCCAATTAAATGAACTGACTCTTGAGAACTTTATCTGAACATCAAAAGACCAGACAAGGAACGAGGACTCTAGAGTGAAACAAATGAATAAGAATATTTCAAGGCCTTCAAAACTAATACTTAAAATAATTCAAATGAAGAAATCGAACACTTTTGAATACTTAGTTTACTTGAATTTAATATCAAGAAATTCAAATGTCAGTCAAGAACTGAACACTATGGTGAGCGAACCCTAGAGGGCTTGAACGAACGCTCATATAAGGAAATTTAGCTTAAGGAGATAGGACGAGTGCCTGGTGTAAGACCAAACACTTGCTTAAGACGAACACTTGGTATAAGACCAGGTGCTACTAACTGATATAAAAGAAGTTGGATAATTATGCCAAGATATTATTGAAGTAGTAGTTAGGAATAACTAAAATATTTTATAGCATGATATCAAGACAGAACTATGCTTGGCCGAACGCTCAAGCACAGTAATTCGAAGTGTAGACGCTCGTCCTCAACTAGGATTCTTCCAACTAGGATTCTTCCCAAATGAAAGAATCCACTACTAACCAAATTCACTATAAAACCAAACGGTTAAGGACCGTTCAGTAACGAACGTACATTTTCTTAGGGGAAATCATATCAGGATCATTTATATTCCAACTCATTTATTTCACATAGTTTTACAACTTTATACATTCATGTTTCATACCCTCCAAACATAGAGATTTCATATATTTCATACATCATAACATCACTCAGTCATATTTCATTTACACTTATTGAATAAACGAACGTTCATACATTACAACAACATACAAATTAAATTAAATAAGCTTCCCTTACCTCTGGTGTGAACGATCGTCCTAGAGGAAGAAATACAGTTCTCACTACCGGTTATCCTACTCTCGATGCTTGACAATTTTCAACTACACCAAGAAAATCAAAACATTCTCAGAACTACTCTTTTGAAGAATGGCGATCAACACAGAATAACAGAACTGGAATTGCATGCCTAGGAAAATGAACGTTTGGGTGAAGAGAAGGACTTACCAGCTCAGCTTCACAAACCGAACTGTTTAACTGGAAGCTCTTGACGCCGGAAGCACTTCCACGGTGTCTGAATGATGATCGGAGAAGAGAAAGGGTGAGTTTTGGTAGAGAGAAGGGAGAGTTTTCTAGTGAGAAGGAGGAGAAAATGAGAAGTTCAGAGTTTTGGGGAAGAAGGGTGCATGCAGAAGAGAGTGGGACGGAAGTTTCAGAAAAATCATTTTTCTTCCCACGTCAAAACGAGTGTCCGCTCTTCTGCTGACACCTGCATCCCACTATCTGATTTCTGATTCTCGTTGCTTGACACCTGACATCCGTACAGAGGGTTTTTGGGTGTGTTTTTAATGATTCTGACAAATACAAAATCTATTAAAACAAGGAGATATCATAGTGAGAAGTTGAATGATAGTCTAAATAATATAGTATACAAAATCCTACAATTAGAAGTTGAAAGTTATTATAAGCTCTTTTTTATGGCTTTTTAATATTTTTTACTGTAGTTATCTTTAATATATGATTGGAAAATAATATTAGTTCAAAAAAAAAATGGAAACATATATAAACTTTTTGTTTATTCTTTACCTGTAAGTACTTATATTTTGCAAGCTTTAATTTTGTGTAATTAATCCTCACTTCATATGTAAATATTTAATTTCTTTAATTTATATGCACGGAGTGGATTGTATTGGTTAGGTGTATCAATTATCAATAAAATAATTAAAAAATATATTAACTAATTTCTATTTTAATATATGTTAAAAGATATATTTTATATTAGTATAACTTTTATGAATAAGAAGACATCAAATATTTTAACTATACATAATCACAGAAAAAGAACTATCATTCAATTATAAAATTTTACCACTTTATAATAAAATTTGACTAAATCAAAGTTTTGGCCTCTTATGTTTGATTTACGATTTCGATTTCTTTATTTCTCGGTGACTTTAATGTAAATTTTACATACATTTATTTTTTATATTTCAATTAATTAAAATACTTTTAATTCATTAAATTAACACGATAAATTAATGATTCAATTTGAATTTTTTAAAAACTTGACTCTTTAAACATTAAAAATTACAACCATAGACTACAAATTAAATAAAACCAAGGCTAGGCTAATTCAACTTAACTAATTTTTAAAAAAAATACAATAACTAAAACTCTAATTTAAAAAAAAATAAAATTGAAATTATTAATTAATACATAAATAAGTTTAAAACTTCCCAATACTCATATTTATGACATGAGTAATAATAACTTTGAAAGCTACCACTCCTTATTGCTTCATCTCTTACTTTCAGAACAAAACGCACTTCTCTCACTCTGCCACTACGGTGGCAAACTTAGACCCAACCCAAACACTGAATCATCTTTCTCCTCCGCCACTTCCACCGCCGCTAAATGGAGGCCGTCGGTTCCAGACTCAGCCGCGCTTCCTCTCGCTACGGTGCTTCCACCGTCTTCACCGGACCGGTCAGGAAGTGGAAGAAGAAGTGGGTCCACGTCACCCCGTCTTCCTCAGTCAGCAACACCACCGCCACAACCAACAACAACGGTAACTCTCATGCCAATTCCAACTCTTCTTCTCGCCTCCTCCTCCGCCGCTGGACCCCCACCACCGCCGATGACGCGGCCAGTGTCTCTGACGAGCCTCCCAGGAGGAAGTTCCGTTATACCCCCGTATGTCTCTCTCTGTCGTTGTCCCATTTTTGTTTTCCCTTTACCATTTTTGAGTAAATATTTAACTGGGCTTTTGTTTTGTGGTGAAAAGTTTCGATTTATTGTTTATGTTCCTGTGTTTTGGTGATGGGGTGTAGAGTTTAGGTGGGTGTGGGATTTTTCTGTGGATTTGGAAGTGTTGGGTTGGATAGTTTGTTTGCATGTTACATTAGTTGGGATTTCGGTTTGTGAGAAAGATGGTTTCTTTGCTGCTTTATCAGTGATTATAGAGGGTACTGATGTATGCCAAGAGAGAAAACAGAGAAGATTGATGAGAGAATACAGATTGATAATTGTTTTTGAGTTTGTGTTTAGTCCCAATTCGCTCTGGGAAACTTGATTTTGGTTTATTTACTCACAGATTTATGAATTTAGTTCTCTAACTTTTGATGAATATTTAGTGATGAATTTTGATTGTTATAAAGTTGGAAAAGAGATTAAATTCACATATATTTTGTAGCTAGCGTGCAAATTTTATTTTTTTCAAAGTATAGGGACCAAAATAAAGTTTGACCTAAATTAATGAAATAAAAGAACTCATTTAAGTTTTTTATTGGTTGAAGAGAAAATGAGAAAGATGAGTGAAGTTTTACAAGTCTTGTCTCTATGGGAGACACAGTTATAGAGATGACTGGGTCATTCAGTTTGTGCATTATGTATGTGTTTCTTCATTATTTTTTGGTGCATTATAGTTTCTGTCAAATGAATTCTTCTCATCATGACTGAAAGGTTCGTCAATTCCATGGTGCAGATTGCGGTGCTAGAAGAACAGAAAAGAATGATGGTTGTAAAGAAAGAAAAGGAACCCACAACTGGGAGTGGCCAATCGGCACTTAAACAGACAAACATCACTCATGAGAAGCAAGAGAAATTTAACATGAATGAAATATTAGAGGAAACCAAGGTAACAGAGTTTTCTGGTTTCAATTTTTGGAGTTAACATAGGATTTCATGTGTTCTAATACTGTATTCGACTTCACTCTTATGATACTGCTCTCGGATTATCCTTTACGGACTAAGTTACCTATTGACACATACTTGGTAAGAACAATCATGGGTGCTTCCAATAAACTGCTATGTCATGTAAAGACTTCTATTATTGGTAATTCCAAAACCATTTTTCCTATGTATAACACTATAATCATAGTCTGTCTTGTAATTAATAAATCATCCTAAGATCAAATATAAGAGGAGGGCTGTGTTAGTCAATTGAGATGATAACAATTGATGACCTTATCTTTGAAGGTTTAGAATTTGACATGGTGTGATTCATAAAATGCAGTATGCATTGGGTATCTCTAGCCAACTGTTGAATCCCTTAATAGAATAGAACTTCAGATATTTATGATTAATAATATTAACGTTGGTCTATTAACATTAGTATGTATATGAATTGCAGGATTCAAACATTGTTAAATTGGATCATGGTTTGGATTTGCAGAGCAACAATGATGAAACCAGTGTGAACAGTGATACTCAATTGGAAAGTAATATCTAGTAGTTGGTCCATGAACTGAGAAAATCAAGATGTGAGGAAGCGAAGTGTTGATTCAAGAAACACTGAAGTAGTATATATGACCTTTTATCACCTTACAATCCTACCATCCTATATTGAGATGTAATGTAAGTGAGCCATAATCTTGTGTATAGTGCTGTCAGTAGCATAGGAATGATCAGTGACTAGTTTTGGTCAACAAAGAATGATCAGTAATATTTCATGATGGATCATATGCATAATGTGATGCTTACTATGTCTTGCCTTAATTGTGGTGCTTTGTAGGTTTTCAAAATTCGTAACTATGGAGGACAAAATCTAGACTCAATATCTCTATGTAATCGAAATTAGAGTTACATGGATAATATGTGATAAAAATTTGTATTAACACAAACATATATTACTGAAACCTCCTTGGTAAAAAAGGGAAATGAGAAACCTTTCACAATAAAAAAGAGTAATAAATATTTACTAAGAATAAATTTCTTTTGTTAGTATTTGAATAATTTTATCTAAGCAACCTTAATACACCGACAACAAAGATGAGTTTATACCATCATCTAACTAAATAACATCTGAATAATGAGTTTTGAAATAATTATAAAAAAAAAAGTATGAGTAATTTGTGGAAAGAAAGAAGAGTACAATGAAGGAGAAAAATTTTGCTTGGAAAAGAAAGAAAACATCGGTGTTAGGGTTTATGGAAGGAAAATGTTTATGTTTTGAAACTGCAATGTTTTATTTCTGTGATAAATATAAATGGGAGGGATGGAATTTAGATAAAAGAGAAAGAATAAGAATGAAGGGATTAGAGTATTCTAGAAGGGAGACAACTGAATCCATTTTCCAAATATTTTTTTATAAAAAAGTTTAATTATACATTTAATCTTTACAATTTCCCAAACTAACATAACATATTTTTTAGAAAAATTAATTATATATTTAGTATTTAAAATTTAATAAAAATATGATTTTGATACCTATGTAAATTTAATCACGGTTTGTTCGGTAGTTTTCAAATTTAAAGTGTTTCATTTTATAATTGATGTACTGTATATCTCGAATACCAGAATTAGTTTATCATGCTAAAAATATAATTAAAAAATATAAATTTATTTTAACAGAAATAATTTATTAAAATATATAAATTTATTTTAAGAGCAATAAATAATTTGGATTATAAAACATTTATAATTATAAATAAAAAACTTAAAATAGATTTAATTAATACGATAAGAAAAATTTAAATTAATTAAAAATATAATAAATTAAAAAAAAATACTTTTTTATCTAATTTTAATAAAAAAATAATTTGAACTAAATTCAAAATTATTAATTAAAATCAATCAATTTATAAAATGGAAAATTATATTATATTTTTTAATAATGTTTTATAAAAATACATGAATATAAAGAGTGATTGAATTTTTAATATAATTTTATATGTCTAAATGAATTTACTCTATTTTGTTAATATTTATTCTAAAAAAAATTAAATCGGTAATATCAAGTTAATATTCATTTAAACTTAAATTTGGTTTTAATTAAAATAAAATAAAACAATCAAACAGCACATTAACTTTTACGTTCACCATCTCTTTTTCACTTTACATAATAATATCCTTTCACAAATATTTCATCACCAATCATTCTAGTTCATAATTATAAGTCAATATGACTCCTTCACAGCCTTTCCTTTCCTTTCCTTTCCTGGCCTTCGTTATCTTTCATTCTCATTTCTTCATTTTACCAACAATCTAAACACATCACAATTTTATATAATTCATAAATTAACACCGCAATCTTATAACATTATCATATTTTCAATCTCACTAATAAATCCACGTATCCGTATCCAAATACATTTTAAAATACAAGATCTCCAAATTAAATCTCAAAATCAAGACTCATGTCAAGAAAATTAACAACTTCTAAACGATTAGCTTCCCTTACCCTAAGAAAGCTTCCTAATACTATTATTCTCTTGCATAACTTCAAAGCCTAAAATAGTTCTATTGACACAAAGAAGGGTTTGATGAACGAAAAAAGCATATTGCTTCAAAGAAAAAGGGGTAAAATTGATTGGTCCAAAACATTCCTTAACTCCTTAATTTCATGATGGTGAAATTTGATTTAGAAAAGGATGAGATATTGAGGGTGAAATTTGAGATAGAAAAGAGAAGGTGAGAAAGAGATAGAGGTACGCGAGAGTGAGAAACTAAAAAAAGAAGAAAGAGAAATTTCAAAGGGAGGGTTGCGTATAGTTTTATAATTCTCCTTAACAACAAAAATTTTTGTCTTCGAAAATTGTGTTTCAAGACAAAGATTAAGACATAATTCTCTTATCCTCTTCTTTATTTGTTAGGTGAAAACACTATATGCAAGATCTCATACTTGCGAATGGTGAAATTCTCGAAAAACATTTTCACCAGCAAAATTATTCTAAAAGTTTTCTTCTTTGATCTTTATAAAAGTTCCACATATTTGAACACGTTTGCAACCTTTACTTAATCCTTTTAACTTTGTCATTAATTTATTGTATTAACTTTATTCCAATCATCATACTTGCCTCATTTTAAGACTAACTTAAAGTGTTCTACATCTCTTTCTATACAATACTTGTTGAGGATCCATATCTACATTTTCTTAACAAATATTAATGTAGATGAATCCTACTAGGAGTAAAATTCATTCTTGCATCCTATAAATTTAGATAGTTCTTTTGCTAATTGTTCTTTTACCTATAAACGATTGGTTACACTAAGTCGTAGTTTGACGAATCCTACCATTTAATCTAATTATTTCATATATTGGGTATGAGGTATCTCTCGCACAATTTTTTTTAATTCTTTTTGGATGAAAAATGGGTAGTCTTTGGTAATCTAATCATCATTTCCTATACTAAGTTATTTTTCTTTACCACCACGGCACATGGTCATCAGAATTCATGAAAATATTATCTCACTTTAACATCAGAATTTTTCACCGATATAACGTACCTCGAAATCTATAAGGTTCAACCTTTTGTTTTTGACAAGCTAAACAAACAATTACAACCTTAACTATGCCTTGCTACATATATTTTAGATCATCTTATTTTGAGACATATATATTATAGTTCTAACCTTAAGACATCTTCAATTTCCTTATAGATATCTTTTAGTTTTGTTAGTACTTAACCAAGATATTCTTCAAATTCAAATTCATTATAACTAGTTTATTACAACTAACATGATATGAAGATACTAAACTTCCAAATTTCAAACCTTTGAAACTTTGACTCAGTTCTAACTCTCTAAACCTAACTACTAACAACTATATCTCCTCGTGGTTTTATACATATGCCTCTACACTTATTTTCTCAAGATGACACTTCAACTAACACTTATAATCTTCTAATTAACCATTATTTAATCTTGAAAGGATTTGCATATTCAAAATCATTCAATCTACTATCATTTATATTGTTGTATGTGCTCTCACTAGTGGTGACAAAAGAAATCATTTACATAGTAATGTTACTTTATTTGTACTTAGTCATGCCCCACAACGCAATATTTTCTGAAGTCTTTATACTCCACTATGACGACTTAGGAAGTTAGGTAAACAAGTATACACTAAAGTTCTTCCCTCTTTATGCTAAACTATCCAAAGAACTTTTCTAGGTATTGATACACTTGATCATATTTAATACCAACAAAGTTACCTTATAAATTCTATACCAAACCATTTTGTCTAACTTTTTACCTTCTTATAGTTAACCACACTTTAAACCCTAGAGTGTTATTTGCTTTCATCATGAAATTCTTAGTCTATTAAGTTTTTAATACTCTACTAAATTAAGTTCTTAATCGTCCCTTTTGACACTTGAATTGTATTCTTACTTAAGGTCTCCTTAACAAGATTTGTCTTCTCTAGATGAATGAATGCTTGAAATTATAATCCTTTAGAACTTCATAATTCCCTTGTCTTATTTCTATCCCCTTCTAATCATATAGTTACTTAAACTCTTGCAACATTAACTCGTGAATCTAGCCATATTAAGACAATTCTTCGGGTCTTTAAAACAACTCTACCACCATCCCTATGTCTCATGTAAGATAACCAATATATTTGAGTTGTAATTTCCTTTTAATTAAATAATTATAGGAGGTTCTTAAAATCACTAAACATGTGAAATTGAGTATCATTAAGGAAAATCTTTCAAATCTTCCAATCAACACCACTACCACCATCTATATATTGCTAGTGAGTAATATTTGTCATGAATTAATAATCTTTTTTAAATGTAATCTATCATCCTTTAATTTAGTGTTCATATATAACTCAACCTATGATGTGATATTTATTTGTGTTTGCCCAATGTTACTAATATTAGTAAACTAATCAAAATTTACTACACTTCTAGAATATCATGCTCATATAATTGAATTCGAGCAACTGTCTTTCCTAGAATCCTCTTTATCTCCCTATTAGAAACCTCAGCTTGCCCGTTTGTTTGTGGATGATAAGGTGTAGCTACCTTGTGTCTCACACCATAGTGGTTGAGTACCTTTGTAAGCTGAAAATTGCAAAAATGAGATCCTCCATCACTAATGAGTACTTTGGGCATTCCAAACACGAGAGAAAATTTTCCTTTTAAGAAATTTAATAACAGTGCTAGAATCATTCTTAGGACAGGCCAGAGCTTCCACCCATTTACTCACATAATCCAGTGCCACTAGTATGTATTCATTGTTGAAAGATGGTGGAAAAGGTCCAACAAAATATATGCCTGATGAGTGCATATTTATGCCCACATTTATGCTTTAAAATTCAAATTTTTGATAGGATAATTGTGCTTAAATGATTGATTTTAAGTGAATTTGTGATGATTGGAATTGTTTTGTTTGGGAATTAAAGAGACGTAAAAAGTGAGTTTTAGCGCATAAAATATTCTTGGATGTTCTTATATTTATTTGTGCAGCTGAAATTATAAGTTCTATTGGTCCAAATGACAATTCAAAGCCCAAAATCAGATTTTATTTGGAAAATAATGTACAGATGGGCCAAACAGACAACTTTTACCCTTGCACCTCCCAATTTCCCTACATACACCCCTCTTCTCTTAACCAGGCCCAATACTAAGCCAAACAGTAACCCTATTCTAAATACACCTCCTAAATTTCCCTACCCATACCCCTCCTAAGTTAGACTCCACTATATCATGCCACGTGTCCAAATCCTCCCCACATAGATCTAGCCAACCATGTGCCGCCACTTCAGCCTTAACCCATGAGCATCATCTTCCACCTTCTCCACAGAAACCCTAGCCGCAAGCCCCAACGCTGCTCCATCACCAGACAACCACCATCATTCTCGCGCATTCGCAACCATGCTGCACCGCCTTCGCCGGACCATGCCGCCGTGAAGCTGCTGCCATCGCGAGACCAGATGCGAGTTCTCCGCCTTCGACAATCGCGATTCTGCCATGGATGCCGCATCGCTGGTCACCACTCCGCCACCATCTTCATCATGCAAAGCTCGGCTCCTCTGAAATCATTGTGTTCCTCGCCGCTGCCAAGACCGCCACCTTCCTTCTCCTTCGCGCAAGGGTTCGA